AAGGAAAATGAAGTTACCAAATCGGGAAAAAGATACGAGTGATAAAAACGTAAAGGAACAACAAAAATATTTCATAAATACAAATAATCAGTGTTCGACAAGAATCATTTTACGAATAAATTTAACACAAATTATCGTCGATTCGTACCAAAAATTCATTTCCTCCTGGGTTTATAGTCAGATCGTTTTCGCTATAATAAATTCATCGGGAAATGCCGGTTGCGTGGAGTTACGCGCAGCACGCCGCGATTCGACTCGGCAGTTTTAAGTATCGAATGATTCAGCGTGGTGTTTCATCGGTAATTCCATTGACACTAATTGCAGGAGGATTTGGCCGAAGTTATTGGCCGGCGATATTACGCGATCTATCCTGCGTTGGTGCCAGCTTGATTAACGAGAAATAACGACTCGTTCGTCTATCGTCGTGCAACCCACGAGATTCGTGTTTACGTATACGTGGAACAACTCGCGGAGAACCGGTGAATTTCTTGGAAATTAATTCGACCTCGATGAAAAGAAACATTCGAAGAAATAATAATGAGATCATCCTTATAAAAGCTCCGAGCGTAGTCCACTTTTTTCCCCCAAATTTTTTGTCCAATTCCGATAGACGATACGAAATTGCACAGTGATTACAAGTGACCTGAAGGTAACACGGTTTTGCGCGATACGAAGATTTTTCTCAGTCCTCTGTTGTTATTGTATTTCAACGAAATTAAAAGCACGTCATGTTTGAAGAAAGAAGAGCGCGGGTGGAGGTTTAAAGCGGTAGATTATAAACGAACGAGTGACAAACGTGGAAAAATATGGCAGTTTTAATTAACGAACACGGACTGACTTGCGGAGATAGGTATGTACTTTAATTAGTATGTTCGCGTGTTAGTTGTGCTTGCGGCATAATTAAGCCCTGACATAAACTTACGAGGAGTGGAATATTATTTTATCATTCTAAGCCTTCCTTCAGCTAGTAGACAGATCTTAATCCCGTTTACTTTATCGTTATCATTACGAACTATAAGTAGAATATACTTTTTATAAACCACCATTTCCACAATTTTGTCAGTCTAAATGTTTCTTGAGCCAGTAGACAGATCTTAATTCTCCTTATTTTATCGTGGAGTGCAAATGTAGTAGAAAAATGACAAACTATAAGTGCGATATAGTTTTAATAAGCTATCATTTCAGACCGTTCGATATTACTTTCAGCTTTTCACGTGAGACTCTAGCACCTGCTTTTTTACTCACCTTTGAACAAGCACAGTATCGAATTAAACGACTATTTTAAAATAGCACTTGCTCTGTTAACCGAAGAAAGCGCGAACAATCTTGAAGACCTTCAGAAGAAAGTGTAATCAAGGCAAAGATCTATCGATCTTCTACCACAAAGATAATGAACTTGTAGGAGAAGAAAGACGCGAGACGAATAAGAATTCTGTTGGAAGTTAGTCATTTACACGGTTAAAAGCGGCGATTTAACACTCGAAGGTAATTGCTCGAGCTTTTTGATCACGAGAACGTGTATTTTTATACTCCGCATAATTCACCGTGAAAATTGCAATTACGTTTGCACGCGCGTTCCGCGATTAACCTTATCCACGTTCAAATAAACGTCGTCGGAAGGTGTAGCAGCGCCTAGCATAATTGATCTCTACGCTAGAAAGATCCACGAAATGAGATTTCAGTGAGAAATATTCATTTCGCGAGCGGACCAAGTAGTACACCCGATAAACTTAGCAGCGATACTCTCGTAGGTGAAGCGTGGTGCACACCCGGAAGGCAAATGTCATCTTCTCGAACGATCGTTTCCCGGAAATTGTTCGACGAGAAGTCAGGAAACGCGATCAGATTAAAGACACCGAACTGCATTTCCCGTAAACCCACACTAAACATCTAGTTCTCGATTATTTACCTTTGATCTTTATTCCTAAATGCACGGGGAGGGTGGGTTTTCCTTTGGTTCTGGCATTCTAGCTATAAACGGCGATTCTTGGACACGTACTTCCGGGAGTATGGACTAATTCGAATTTCTTTTGATACTTTGTTCTTGGAAAAGTTTGACGATTTTTCGGCGTGTTGCATTTTCTACTTCGTTTAAATTTAAGTATTTTATTTTTATTTAATTCTGTATTTTATAATACAGAATAATTTTAAGTTTTTTTTTCGTTTAAATATTAGAACAACATTCATATTTTCATATTTTGTGCTTTAAACAGTATTTAGGAAATTATTTTTCTGTGATTTGTATTTTATAGTTATACGAAAGAAGAATTGCTCGAACGGTTATTAATTGTGTGAATTAATTTACAGAGAACTTGAAGTAGGTCTCGGTAGCTGTATTTTGATCAAACAGAACTATTAGCTCGGCGTACTTCGAACGAGAATTTCCATAATGAAAAGTGCAGAATAACGTCGAGACGATTTTCACCGGATAGAAATGATAATATTCGAAACGGGCGAAAATTTGTAAAACAATCATTCGCAGCAGAAGTCCAGGATGGAGTAGCAACGTAGCGAGAGAGAAGACAGAAGGAACAACAAATATTCGTGATCACGTGAATCGAATGTTTTCATAGAGATCCCTGCCAGCCGAGAGATAAAATAGCATGGTCGAATATCGGGCTGAAGATGAATCAGGCGTCTCAAAAAACATCGAACCTAACCCTTTCCTCGCTAACGATTACTTTCGATGGCTCGAGGCACCACGAAATATTTTCAGATCTCTCCGTGGATTTCCCCGCGATTTATTGCGCGGAATTCATAGTGAAACGGAAATCTCGCAAATTGCGCGCGAAAGAACTGACAAGGCAAATAGAGGTAACTGAGAGACGTATAAAAGTGGAAATTAAGTATCGAAATACAAAATTACAGAACGGAGAAGGATATTTGTAAAATACACGAAGCAATTCTAAAATTGAAGAAAAATTTCGGTAAACCGACAAATAAGCACGGAAAACGAAAGGTTCGCGAATGAGCTTCGTTGAAAGTTTTCACGAGAAAATTTGTACACGTAGTTGGACGATATGCGTGACTAACAAGTATCGTGAAATCTCTTGTACCTATAATGTCTGATCAAAGGACGGTGTATTCTACTGTGCAACCATCCAGCTCATAAATTGAATCGGTTACTTCAGAAAGAACACGTTTTGAGTTAAACGCACTTCTGTATTTTTTTGTCAGTTCCTCAATGAAAACTTGGTTACCTAATTTACTAGGACAACATAAAAACCTTCAATTTCAAACACAATTTTCACCGATCTTCTTTAACCCTTGTGTCAATAACCAGAAGTGTCGTCTACTTTGTCGTCCAATTTTAGTAGTTTTCTGGTAACAAAATTCTAAATTTGAGGCAAACGCGGATAAGAAATGTGCGAAATAACAAGGATCTGGCCGGATATTTCGATCTTTTACCTGGAAGATCAAATATTTTAAGTGAGAATTATGCAAAATGGTAGCCGGATACCCGGTTATTGACATAAGGGTTAAAACAGAAACTATTGAAATGAAACAGTTTTTATCATTTTTCTAAAAAATCGTCCCAAAAGCCTGCTTATAAATTCCCCCCAAAAAACGACGTTAAAATATCCCGAATAAAATTAGAGCGAAACTTTTTCTCCATGTTCGAACAGCTAAAAACAAGGATTAACTGAAATCATTTTTCTCTCCTCGGAGAAAAGAACTGTCTGGAGTGATTCGTTTGCGAGCGCTATACTAGCCCGGGTGCACGTGGTGAGCGTCAGACAGGGCTTTTCTCGATCCGCCGGTGCATTTACACGGATCCGAAAATCTCGTTGGAATCGAGAGCACGGACGGGGCATTAACGAGTAAACGACTTTCACGCGCGTTCGTTGGCTCTGAAAACTCGCGTGGCGAAGCAACCGGTTCGAGGAAGTCGTACGACGTCACAACTATAGATACTCTATTTTCGCTTATCTCGCCTCTACCGTCTCCTTCTCTAAAGCCCTCCGCCGGTCCCTCTTTCTCTGGCTACCGCGAAACACCGTGTATTTCTGGCACGGCTTCTCTCGACAGGCGCGCAGGCCGGAGCACCGAAGACGAATTTCGAAGCAGAATACCGAGCCCCGGCAACGAGGCCCCCGAAAAAGCTGATAGGAATCGTTCGAAGGTGATCTCTGGAGGGCTAAGGGTGGAAAACGATCCGTCGGATAGGGGGAACGGGCAACCGGGCCAGAAATCGTCACGGAATCGAAACATCTTTGTCCGTCCGGAACAGTTTCAACGAGTGTACAGAGGTATTCCAAGGTACTGGACCAGAACATGTATCGATGTGAACATGTTGTGATACGGATTCAAATACGGATACAAAGAGTCGGAAAGGTGTTTTTCCAATTTTCAATTTTTTTTTATAGGTAGTTTTGAATTTATTTGGGAATAAATTTATTAATTGTATATTTTGGTGTTTATTTTTGTTTTTATCGTGGAAGCAGTTAAATCTGATAACTTTTTGAGAAAAAATGTATATGTTAGTTTGTGTAATTTGGTGTTTAAGATGGTATGTAATTTAAGAAATTCAGATGATTAGAATTCTGTATTCTATATTCTTGCATATCTTTCAAATTTCCTTTTAAGGGTGATTTTATTTATTTTAGTAAGGAAATTACATTGTCTCTTTCTTTTCTGCGATAGTTTCGTTAATTTTTTATCGCAAGTGGAATAGAAACTGCATGAAATGTGTGTGTTTATGCAACCACAGTGTTTTGTGCCAATAATTTTCAGAATTGAGAGATTGTTGTATAAAATAGATGCAAACATACCACTGTAACAGTTCTAATTTTACACCTTTCTACGTATAGCTTCATTGTTTTGTTTAGTCAACTAAAATTAGATCGTACAAACACATGATTGTCTTCTATCAACAATAGCAAAGCGTACTCTTTGTTAACATATTTCTTCGAATGAAAATAATATTATTTATGTTTTCTGAGAAAAAGTTTGAAATTTCACTGTAGGAAATCATGTTTGGTTAAAAAAAAGAAACTTACCCTTGCTGGTGAGACTGAAGCTTCTGAGCCTATAACTGTCCTCGTCTTCGCCATCTTCCCTCTGCGGCATCTGAGACGAAGTGTCAGGAACGTCCAAAAATGCATTGCTCTTTCTGTGATGACTGTGGTGCATACTTTGTCCTCTTCTACTTCCCCGTCTCCTCAGCCCAGGACTGATATCGTTGTCAGTCAATCTGGGCTCGCTGCTGCAGTGAGCAGATTTAACTGTGCCTTCATGGTGGTGATGGTGATGGTGTGCAGCTAAAAGCAAAAATAAAAATCCAAATGTATAATTAACAAATTTATTCTTACATCGGCTCAGAAGTTCGTGTTAAAAAATTCAGGACATTGAAAAAACTTAAATTTTGGGAAACTTAAAATTTTAAAAAATAAAGAAACTTAAAGCTTAGAAAATTGGAAAAAATAAATTAGGAAACATAAAATTTTTAAAACTGAAGCTTAAATTTTAGAAAACTTAAAATTTGCGAAATTGAAGAAGTTTAAATTTTCCTCAATTTCTGTTAAAAAGGGTTAACAGTATATCTACTGATTTTCTGCTCAGACTTGAAATTTCATTACATTATTTACCTAAAAATATTCACAGTGTAAAAATGAATTACACTCGTCGCATTGGTTTCTGCAAATTTATTCAATTTTTTCAAATATGATTTAACAAGACTGGCGATAGAAACGCTGTAATAACATCCAGAGAGATTTCTAAAGAGTCAGGTTACGCTCCTAATATTCTCGTTCCTCCACGTATCTGCCCATGCTCTCGTTCTTTCTCTCTCTTTTTTTTTTTTTTTGTCGCTACCGCCTGAACCGAACAAGCTTTTCATGCCATGGCTTCCCACTATCTCAACCGTAGGCCCTTTGAAATTTTTCCACTCTTTACTTTTGTCGCTGACCGCCTTTTGAAGGATCCGAAGTACACTCAGAGGAAAATACCGTGAGCAACGCGTGAAAATAAAATGCAGTTCGAGATAGAACAATTCAAAATGCGATTTATGTGTGGAAGTTTGATGGCATGATAAATCAGCCCTGTTCCATTTATCCTTTTCTCTTTCTTTTTTCCCTTTGTTTTTCCCTTTTTTTTTTTTTTTGATTGCAATGGCTTTGGAGAATTGAAAAGAACTGATCGATAGGGATTCATATATCAAGGTTTCCCTGCAATACTGCTCGCAATGTGAGACAGGGAAATATGTCTGCTGATCGTAAAAACGCACTAATTGGTTTTCCTGCTATTAATGCACGCGGGTTTCTCAGAAGCAGGAATTTCCCGTTACACTACCATCCAATTAATGACATTTCCTGTAGCGTGTAACATGTATACGATAAAAATATAAGAAAATTTTCCT